GACAAGTGACAGTAAATCCAGCAAACCGAGCATCTCGGAAGGGAGGGGAATCAGGAGGATGCAGATCAAGATACACGGACAATAGCCTCGATATAATCGAGTCTCTACGGTCTGGTGTGCGAAAGGACACCCATCGGTGTCGCAGAGAGGAGGGATGGTAAACATCGAGGGGAAAGAGGGCGCGGAGCAGAGAAAAGGGCAGCGTGTGCAAGCGGAATAAAACTAAAACGAGGAACACGGAGGCCGTTTGGGAGGTGGAGGAGGAGGGGGAGGAGGAGGATGTAATCGCTCGGTGGATGAAAGGTTCTCGCGGAGAAAGAGAGATCAGAGGCGAAAAAGAGGCGAAGGCGCGATGGCGCGCGACGGCCTGTGAGAACGATGATTGAAGTGCACGTACTTACGTGCGCGTACTTACTCTGGATGTTGGCGCGGCGTGTGCAGATGCAGAGGAAACGCGGCGGTGCGGCCGCATTGTCGTGCCTGTTCCCTCGTGGTCGACACCCACCAATGGCGCCTCGACGTTTTCTCCTCGAAAGCGACGATGAATCGGCTGAACGTGCCTGTGAACCACCTGACACCGCATCCAACCATCCTGCACAGTGCTAAAACTGTGTCGCTCGTTCACCGGATATCCTCGCGAAATCCTCCTCCTCTTATGTACTCTTTGATCGTGTTTTTGCGCCAGCGGCCTCGGTTTATCTGTCTTTGGAGACGGATCGCGGGCTGCAGACATTGATCGGGAGGAATTGTCCCGAGTATCTGAAGTCCCGATGTCTGCTTAAACCCTCTTCCATGTTCCCCGTTCTCGTTGGTATCTTCCAACTGGCTAGACTCGTCGGGATTTAATTTTGCACGGGCATCGAGTTCCGCAACGGAATTTAGAATTTTATACTTGGAATCGGAATTGTCTGGCGAACGTGACTGACAAACACGGGAAAAACGTGACAAGCTCATTTCTCTTGGTTCTTTTAACTTCTGTTTGTTTCAACACTCGATGACAAGTAATTTGTTAAGTTCAAATACGAGAAGTTGTACTATTGATTTTTGTTGAAAATATTCGACAGAGTGATAAAACGTGTATTTAATCACGCGGTTAAATTTTAAGAACAGGCTGTTTCGAGGCTGGTTGTTGAATTTTAAAATTTTACTTGTCAGGTTCCTTCCCTGTTCTTCTTCATGTTCCTCCTTCCCATTGGTCCCACTTTGAATCGCATAACTTAATCCCAGGATTCTACTTCGATTCATATATATCCTTGGTTTCTCAGGGAATTCTGAATCATGCATTTCAAAATCTTCAACGAGAACGCCGGAAACGATCAAACACGGAATACAATACGAACCGGGTACAGCGGTGGCAATCGATGAGAGTCTATCGAACACCTTCCAGTCCGCGACGATTCGATTACATCAGCGTTCTAGTGGGAAATCATCGGTTAACTTTGTCGCGGAGCGACAGTTTCCGCCATGTAATGAAACTCGCGGCCTTGTTCGAAGTTACTTCGTCAACGTTACTTAGATTTTTATTAGTTTGACTATTAAATCTTTGCCCCTTGAGATTTGATTAATAATTTTGGACACTCGAAACTGTGGAATTTCAAACCCATAAAATTGTCGTCCGACATCTTTAACTGGAGGATTTAAGATTTGTGAAATTGACGATAAAAAAAGGAAGAAAGAAACGCAATTACCTGAGACCATGGCCTTTGAGATTTGTAAAAATAAACGACGAAAAACACACGCGTGAAAGGGGAAGATGATGCGTGAGAGAGGGGGATGTTGAACGACGTGGACTGCTGTGTTATGGTTCAACGATCATTATTAGCGATTACGAAACGATCGGCTGTACAATAGTCTCGATGAAACTCGGATCACAAACGTCCGTACAAAATACGGCGCGACAGGCGGCTGTGCTCTGCTTTTCATTTTATTTAATTGACGTCTATAGATTAGGTGGAGAGAGATATACAATGTAAAGGAGAGGATAGACCCGGTTAGATTTCGTAACTCTACCGTTCGTTTAATAAAATTAATCGTTTAAATACTTATCACAACAGGTAGAATGATGTCGTAGGAACCCTGCCTGTGTCTTACGGTGTACCTAACAATTAGTTACAATCTCTTACTGATTACATTTACACTTTTCTTTTTTTTCTTTTTCTTGAGACTTTTCATTTTCGCTTTTGCAACGTCCCCGGTTAAAAGGAAAATTCAAAAAAAGAAAAAAAGAAAAGAAAGGAAAAGAGAGGAAAAACAAAGGAAAAGAAGGAAGAAGAGAATTCGTAAGTATTTAAAAAAAGGAGAAGTATAAATGAAATATAGATAGAAAGAAATATGGCGAGCCAGAGAGAGAAAGAGAGAGAAAGAGTGAGAGAGAAATATAGAAATAGAGAGGAGGGAAGGACAGAACTGTGCTTGTCCCGCGCTCTTCGACAAAATATTCTTAATAATCGTTCCACGAGCAGTTTCTTATCGACAAGTTGATAGACTAGATACATACTTATATTACAATTGTTCGACTTGCCGGAAGTCGCCAGTCGCGTTGAACCGCGGCGGAGAATCCAACCAGGGCGGCGCCGCGACGATTCTTACTCCCCTCGCGTTTCGATGCATCGCGTCGCGTTGGAACGGAACGCGGAGCTTGTATACGGGCTTGGAGCGTGCAATTGAAAGACGTGGCGCGACGAACGTGGATAAAACGAGATCGTTTTGTTGCTGGAACCGAGACTCGGGAGCCATCGATCGTGCCGGAATTTTTTTTTTCTTTTTTTTTTTTTACAAGCCAGAGACCCGCGATTCCACCGATGTTGAAAAGCTTTCAGATAGCTCGAACAAGCCAGATCACGTTTCGATCGAACCTTTATCCTTTATTTTTTTTCAATCATTCGGTTATTTTGTCGGCGAATCTTTTTTTCTCCCCCTCC